CTTTAGCCAACAAACAAAAGGTATTCTACGCCACCACCACACAAATCACCCATCCACCTAACCAATTCATGCCAGCCGCTATGGGAAATTATGATAATGATGGCAAGAAGTCAACACCATGCGCCAATTGTATGGCGGCGCTTAAGTGGATACCAGTCATATTCATCTCCGCCGTTATTGCGTGGTCCTACTACGCTTATGTAGTACAGCTTTGCTTATGTACGTATACAAATGTATTAAATAAAGTTTAACATTTCCTTTTTGTAGACTAATTCAATAAAAAAACACAATTTCTTTTACAGTATCCATTGACAACACCTTTGAAAAGATAGTTTTTCTCATATTCTATCATATAATATGCATGCTGTTTTTCTGGTCCTATTGGAATACCATATTTACACCAGTGGGTACAGTGCCATCAAATGTAAGTATAACAAATGGACTTATCGTATGTATGAAATGCAATAAATGGTTCATATATGTATAGATTTTTCGTAATTTTTAGGTAATTATAGATACTAAAGATACATTTTCTTATCAACACTTGTGTTATCGCTATGTACAATGTTTCGAAAGCCCTGGCGTAAACTTCCTGTAACAAGTGGTTTTCTTAGTATTAAACAGCTTTATCTATTAATTGATGCATTGCTTTTAGCGAGTATGAATGATGAATCATTGTTAGCTGAAAAGCATAACATACTATGTACACATGCGCATACATATCTAATGCAAAGCTAGCGTATTTATAAATGCTGATAAGCTGATAAAGGTTAAAATCTTAGAGTGTGTTGTTCATACTGCACTCCCGGCTCCCAGCGCTATGGGAGTCACTGCACGCTTTTTGTTGTTGCACATTAAATTTAATGGACATGCAAAACCGGCTATACAATGACGTCACATTCTCGCAATAATGATTTCTGTTCATAAATGTTTTTAATTCGGTTTGCTAAAGGTTGTTTGCTTGTATGTAATTTAGCAACACGCGAATTGAAATGAAAAACGAACAATTTTATTTATTATGTGATGAACAAAAAGTTCCTTTCAAAGCCGTAATCTGTACATACTTATATCGTACAAGGTGTTGTCGCTGTTGTGATAACAGCAGTGGAATTCTGACAATCGCTACGCCAAATTTTCGCCGCCAAAATTCTCTAAATGAAAAGCAGTGGGACCAAAAAATATACTGAATGGAAAAGTAATAGCTGCAATGTGTAATCAGTAGAGTGAGTTCTTATATGCAATATACGGAGACTAGAAATATGTACCACATATCTATAAGCAAAGTGTTTAAATTTGTATAAAAGTTGTTTTAAAAACTCGCTATACTAATCAGCCAAATCTGGCAGTATGACAGCATGTAACTAGATGTTGCGTGCTTTTAGGCGCGCCTGAATTAGCGATAGCAAATATTGGAATCCGGCTGCAGCATGAAAATTCACATAGTTTCGGGGCATGTTGTTGGAGTAACAGTCCTTGGCCCGATACATGTACTGTATACATACATATGTAATTCTTCGCGAATAAACATTTAGCTAAATGTTTGTCCTAGTTTCTCTTTCGCCTTGATTTTGTAGTACTAATGGATAAACCTACCGTTTAACGCCGCCTGGGAACGGCGATTGCTTTGTTGTTTTCGTGGCAGAAATACCCCCGAAGGGTTGTCAATGCATGCTAAGGGGAAACCATTATCGTAAAAAAAAGCCTTTTTAAATGTTGCACAGACATGAAGTTGAATCTAGGTATAAGCGCGCACCTACAATAACTCGTCTACAGCAGCTGCAACAATTTCAGTAGACTTTTATCCACTTGAGTTGGTCCCACTACGGTTTAATTATCCGAATGACTAAATTATGGCCCATTTCTGCCACATTAGCAGAACAATAACAACATATTGCCTACTTACATAGAAATTTTTCCAAATAGTGCAACATTTTTTCATCTATTACCAATTTGTATCCATATATTTACTTACTTTTTCGCAGTGGCGCATACCTGAATCAGACATTGAACACATTTTCCATGCAGACACACAGGAACAACAAAAGCGAATTTTAGAAAACTTTGCCAAAACGCTGCCAGTCACAAATCGGTGAGTGCCTTTTTTATTAATACTATTCTAATTAACTATTTTCGGACGTCATTGGTCAGTACTTTAAATGGATCGGTGCGTTTTTGTGAAAAATGCAAAATAATCAAACCAGATCGCGCACATCACTGCAGTGTCTGTGG